ATTGGTTTTGCTACCCCTTAGGATAAAAAATCAGGTAAAAATAAATAATATATTAATTTGTTCGATTAACCGCAATTGCTATACTGTTCCTGACATTCACCAGTACTGTTGAGACGCTGCCAGTAAGAAAACATCCAATAAAATAAAATTAAATTAAATTAAAAAAACATGTCAAACCTCTTTGTGTGAGCATATTTTATACAAATAGTGCTAGAAGTACCAATGTGTAAACATATACTGGAGAAACTAGATGGTACGGGGTGTACAGAGGCACAGACTGTACATAAAGATGGCTGCATGTTGTTTACACTTTGTCCAAACAAAACTTCTTTGCATCATCAAATTATTTCACAATGAAGCCAGATTCCTGAGAAATGCCCCCTTCGCGCTGACCACCGAGCCACTTGCTGCTATTGTCTTATTGTTTCCTCCACGGGAAATACTCAAGACTTGAGCGTGAGTGCAGACGAGGGGATTGCATGCTTGCTTTGAAAGAAACACCCTTCCAACAATGGCTGGCAGCGGGCCTAGTCTTTTGACCCTGCAGATCACTTCACATTATTGACCTTGCCTTTGTGCTGCCTGACTTGACTCCAGCTGCTCATAATGTACAGTATATAAAGCGTAGACACATACAAACAGTTTATGAGGCCAGTCTCCATCGGAGGCCCGGCCCGCTGTCAGAGCAGCGCCGGCCGTCTGGATGAAGCTGTGATCCCTGTCTGGGTTTACTTTAAGACAGATCCTCATGGACTCTAATATCCTAAACACAGAAGAAATTCTCCAGCAGTGACCACACAATGAAATCCGAGTCGGGATGTTTACAGTCTTAAAAAAATGGCAGAAATCTATGTCACGCCTTTATAGTTTGGTTTTTGTGCTGTGATTTCAAAGAGGCCATTCGCAGTTTTCAGCTGTATAATGATCCTTTTGATGGATTTATCAAAGCAGAGCAGCGGCTGGTCGCAGCAGGTGATGGAGATAAACATGTTCTCGTTTCTAAATTAATAACTGAACTATAAAAAGGAACAAATACTGACACAGCCGAGGATCACTGAAGTGGCAAATGGAATACAAACACTGAAGTTTAAACAGCGGTTTAAAAGGGGGGAAATGGCAGGTTGAAATGCCACTTATGGTGGAAGTGCAGGCTGTAATTGAAAGAGGAGTGGAAGTTCAGAAAATGAAAGGTGAAGTGCTGAAAAGAAATCAGAGGCAGTTTATTTATTCACTAAACGAACAAAAGCATTGGCCCACACCTCTTAATCAAATTTGGGTAATTTCAGTCCCTTTGCCACAGGTGTATATAAAAGAAAGCACCTGGCTATGCAATCTGATTTACAAGCATCTCTGAAAGGTCGTTCTCAAGAGCTCACTGAACTTACACTCAAATAAGGTGTAATAAAATGTCGCCACTGCAGTCATTTTGAGAAAAGTCCTAGACAATCCATTTGCAAAGTGGAAACGGTCACCGGTGTTCTGCTGCTCCAAACCTCCTCGGACATTAACATCAGCACAAAAACTGTGTGCTGGGAGCTTCATTGTCAAGCAGCTCCTGTAGGTGTCATCTTCAGCATATTGTTCTCATGTTACTTTGAGTTGAATTCTATGTAGATAAAACATAATAATGCTTGGAATAACCCAAACCCAACCCAGAATTAATGAGGCCAAGGCAATCAGTCCAAAAAGAGAGGGAGAGAGAGAGAAGAGGAAAACGTGCAAGGTCGAGGTTGAACCGCGCACAGGGAGGCGGGAAACCCGAACACAGAGAACATCTGCAGCACAGCAGCAAGTATTAACGAACAGTGTGACGGGGACCCACTGGGCTGATGTGGGAATGACCAGCAGGGGGTTAACAAGACACAGTCACCAGCAATCAGGCAACTACGGGAAGACAGACAGGAAGCAAAAGAAGAAAAACAACAAACTTCAAAGTAAGAGCCATAAATATGGACACCAAACAAGATGTACACGACAAATGGAACAAAAGGGATGGAAACACAAACACAGTGTGAGACAGAGAAAGGCGTAGATGACACACTGTGGAGGCCACTCATACTAAATGACCGTAAACATAGAAACGAACCAAAAAGACAAGAAAACAAAACCTGATGACTACAGAAAACAGAAAATGAAACAGCAAGAGATAACCAGAACTAAAGAAGACAAAAGAGGAATCCAGAAAATATAATAAACACAAAACTTTAAACTTTATATACGGAAACACCAGGAGAACCCAAACGGGAAGCAAAACTTTAGCTTGCTGATATTTCAAAACGGACAACAAGGACAGTGTTTTACTTAATGGGACAGCAGCTTCTACTTTAAATCAAATTATTAGCATGTCAATTGTGATTTTAGGTGGTTGCCAGGCAACATGATAACATCGTATCATGCACAATTCCCATTTTATATACATAAATTGCAAGTTATTGTTTTTCAATTAAAATATGTGACATAATGCTTTTATGCTGCGTTACAGGTGCCAGATAGGTGATTTTAGCCTGTTGGTAGGTGGTTGCTAGGCAACAAGACAATGTTAGAATATATGATCTAGATAAGAACCTTCAGGGGCCTGAGATGTACCTGTGTGTCAGGTTTGGTTGCTCAAAGTTAATCGTGTACAGATTTCAGTTATTACGGTATCTGAAATCTGTGTCAGGAGTCTCTCATAAGACAATAACAATGGCTAATAATGCATTGATGATCATATTCATTAATAAAGTATTCTCATTATAATTCAGTTTATTGACTAAACCATAAAACCTAACAAATATTAAAAGAATAGATTTGACCGCAGTTTTTAAAATAGTTTTATTATTTTGTTCTTTTTACTTTGGCCAAACATGCAGTGTTTATAAGATTTTAATGGATGAATTTGATTCGATTTGACCTGCTGAAAGTAAAACCATATAAACAGTGGACGGTTTAAGAGTGAAGGTGGATGAAGGCTTCCTGGAATTTTTAACTGGGGGTGAGAAAGCTCGATGCGTCAGCAGATAAAGGACAGAAAGCGTCAATTTTGGTGATAATAAACAACAAATGTGGGGGAAGTTGTCAATTAAAAAAGGAGTAAAATATGAAAGTAGATAAAGTGCAAACTGAAATATAAATAATTAAAAGATGAAGCAGTGAAGACAGCTAAAATAAAAGCAGTGAAAGTGATAATTAGTCATCACTTTCTGACTTTCTGTTTGTTTATGTGGAAGAAGCAGCAGCCTGTGGGTTTCTAATTATAGGTAACACTTGAGCATTGTTTCTTATCATCATGCTTTGCAGACAGGGTAACCTTTAAAGCAGCTAAAAGTAATCAGCTACAGGAACGTCTAAAAGAAACCACCTCTTCCTGTCTTCGGGACAGTTTTTCACCCCCTGACTTTTTATTTTATTTTATTTTAAATGATGATGACAATGTGGAAGAAAAGGTCTTTTTCTTCACCCCCATTGTTCCTCGGAGCGTCGGCTCGTCACTCTCATTGTTTCTCCTCTGTGAACAATGAGGAACAACCTCCCCCTGCCACGTCTCCCACCCGCCGGGTTTCTCTTTGGCGATGATTAGTTTCTGATGTGAGACCATTGTCCTGACCAACAGTGGTCGCGTGTGAGGGACAGTGTGACAAATATACAATAACACCCCTCGCTCTCTGGCTCTGTCTCCAGCAGCAGACAGGAAGGACTGCGAGCTTTCATGATTGACCAGAATCCAGGAAACTCTGAAAATCACAAATATGGGGATGTGTTATTTAGGAGAAATAGGACAGGAACTTCGTGTACCCAAACTCTTCAGTACACCTCTGATCTCTCACAACTAGCACATTCACATTTTCTAAAAACAGCCCTGTTGCATCATCAAATATCCCAATGTGTGTTTAACCAAAACCAAACAAAGCAGTTGATAACATTCAGCCTGCCATTCCAACGACTATAATCTGAAAATAAACACAAACACTGGTCTTATTCTTTATTATTATCATCTCAAACAGTGCATTAGTCCACCTGTCGGTGTTTTGGAGCTGTAAGCAGCAATTTGTAAGGATCAAGGGCCAAATAAGGATCAAACTGAATCATTAAAGACCACAGGTCCTGATTCTGGAGGATAAAGGTGATTTGGTCAAAATATACCTGAAAAAAATACTTAAGAATCTACAGAATGATCACTTTTAAATTAACTAGAAACTACTACTTATTTACAATGTAATTAAACATTACTTAATCTCAAATTAAGTGATTGATCTGCTTGAAAACTACAAAACTGAGAATTCAGAGGTGATTTTTTTCAGTAAACATTTTTTAAGTCTTGCACCACTGCAGACAACCAGAAATGGCTTTGGGTAGTCATGGTGGCAGTTATTTTAAAGCACTAAAATAAAGATTAAAAAGTTTGCTAACATTATCCCAATATGTTAGCAAACTTCTCTCTGGAAGTTACAAAAAATCCAACAGATTTCTATTCCAGGATTATGAAAAAACAGTTGTAGGAACCTTTAGAGTCCAAATGTAGACTTCATCTGTCGTTCTCCCTAAAATCCACAAGAGGGCAGCATAACATGTCTTACAGAGCTGTGGTCTGCAGTCCAGCTCTGACTTTTCTCACCCGCTGGGACCCTCACAGTGACTCATTCTCTGTGCAGCTGGGACTGGCAGCTGAGTCACACAGCTCATCACTCATTTAGCCAGTCAATATCAGATCCAGGCGGCGATGATCTCCTGTAAATCGATCCTCATATTCACCTGTGGCACTGTGCTAACTGGAGTATAAACAGAGGGGGTGGGGCTGCTGCAGTGGTTCTATGGTTTATTATTATACTTCTTTTTTATGCCACAAAGGTATATTTCCACTAAAGCCTAATGCTCATATTAACTAGATACCATCACCACATAGCACATTTGACTGACTGGGACTGAGGTGCCTGTCCTGTCATAATAAATGCTAAAAAGAAAATAAAAATAAAAAATTGATTGACAGGTAATTATCTATACTGGCTTGTCCTGTGAGGCCTCCTGAGGGGCTGCAGTCTATTCCACCTGACACGTGGCGTACCTGTCATCTATCAAACAGAGAGGGAGCTGTTATTGTCTTAGAGTAGCTGCTTCATCTGTGCTGAAATCCACACAGAAACAAGAGGGAAACATGCAAACTCCACAAAGAGATGCCAAAACCCATAATTCAATATACATTTTCTGCATGAATTTATTTGTTAAAGCTTCTTTTAGAGTTAAAGTGGGCCTGTTCTGCTTTTCGATTTAGAATAGAATCCCCCCTTATTGTCATTTTACCTGTATAACAAAATTATAGGTGCTCCACGCCAACTTTGCAAGATTAAAATATAAATAGTATGACAGCAGGAATAAATAGCAAACAGGAGAGATGTATACAGTCTAGAGGAATATATGCAAAACAAGAGAAAGGCACACATTGGACAGCAAAGTGTTTGGAAACAGTACAAAAAGACTTGGTCTGAGTATTGAGTCTGTATGTGAGTGGCCTGTGTTGTGGGTTACTCAGACCATGGCTCATTGGTGAGGTGGGTGGTCAGGTGTGGGGTGTGGAGTGTATGTTTGTGTATATGGAGGGGGGTAGTGTTTGTTAACAGTCCGAATGACCCAGGGGAAGAAGCTGTTTTTGAGTCTGGAGGTGTGGAACTGGATTGACCTGAGGCACTGACCAGAGGGCAGCGGGTCAAACAGGTGGTAGGCGGGGTGCAAGGGGTCACCTGTGATGGCCCTGGTTTTCCTAAGACAGGAGGATCTGATGATGGCCTCCACGGGTGACAGAGGGCAGCCAATGATTTTTTTGGGGGAGGTGTTCCTGTTCCTGTGCAACCTTCCTCTTCTCGGTTGTGGCCCGAGTACCAAACACCGGGCCACAAGGGGCGGTAGAAGGCCAGCAGCAGATTCTGGTAAAGGTTATTTTTCCTCAAGATGCGGAGGAAGTGCAACCGCTGCTGGGCCTTCTTTACCAGGGCGATGGTATTGTTGGTCCAGGTGAGATCAGTGGAGATGTGGGTGCTAGAAGGAAGTATTTGGTCCAGGAACCGGTCTCTGTCATGGGTCTTGAACACTAGTCAACATCCTCTAGCAGCTAAGAAAATACGGGGTCTGGTGTGCTTGCTTTCTCCATCCTGGCTTTTTCTTTTTCTTCTTTTCATTCTGTATGATGTCAGCGACAGTTTGTATCTCTGATATATCTCAGGACAGCACGGTTCAGTGTTTGAACCACCTGGAGTTTTAATGTGCTCCATCATCGGGCTACCTGTAGATCTGAGATAGCTCTCTGTTCTGTGATGATGAGCTATAGCAGCCTGTCTACGGTGTAGCCGCCTCTTGTCCAACCACTGCTGCTGGCCATTGTGACCAACCTGCTGGTCAGAGGGGCAGCCAATCAGAGTAAGTCCGCTTAAAAGAAGGGTGGTCTTCAAAGGACAAAATAAATAAGAATACAAACAATATGCTACTGCAGCACATAAACGACCCAAAAGAGTCAGTTACAAGCATAAAAATAAATAAAATCACATCACATGAAGGAAACCCCGTAATTTTCCCACTTCAGACTCGCCCACCTCACCTGGGTGACTATTACAGGGTAAAAAAATTGAAGTCATTTTGCGGTAAAATCAAAACCCACACTGCTCAATGCCAAATTTTCCCACTTCATGACTTCATGATGTATGCCGAAGTGGAAACTGACATTTGAACGTCTACTATTTAGCAACACTACGTACGTCAGGTTTGTTCCCAAAGCCTCAAACTTTCAATCTGTGAGATTTAAATTCTGCACAGCATGAGACACCGATAGATACTTAGATCCTTCTTCCAGAGTGGACAAGCATTTGCTTCTTATCAGACTCAGACTCCCAGCTATTTTGGCCTTTCCCTTCTGATCATATCATAAGGACAAGACAGCAATTCTGTACTTAAACTCCACTGCACATCTTTTTAAGCCCATCAGCTCATGTAAGTTCTGGGAATTGAACCAGCCACCATGTTGTCTTTCTCTGATATATTTCAACAAATCTCCGGAAATAGCTCCTATCTTTCCACCCATTTATTTTCATTTCAGACTGGCAGAAGCGATGTGGTGTTGTGATAAGAATCTCCATCAGATGCGGCGTGTGTCTTTGAAGATGACACGGTTATAAACACTGAGATGGTAAGACGGGGCATGTCTCAGCTGATAGCATCACGCTGCTCACTGAGCGACTGTGTCGGATGCTTCTCAGATACAACACCAAAGGATTTCCTCCTCCTTCCTCCTTGCTGCTCTGTTATGTAATGCGCTCGCATCAGTTGTAAGTGCGGAGCGCCTCGAGCCAAATCAATGTGCTCTAAACAAGCTTCATCCTCATCAATAATGGATTCACGCCGTAAACGTGTCAGACGTCCCTGCTCTTCAGGACCACTCAGCCTAACGCGACGTCCCACAAGAACAGTTATGCAAGACCAAGCGCAGGTTGAAAACCTACGAGCTTTAAATGTTTGAGTGTGGACGCAGAGCTGCTGTGTGTCTGCAGCTGTGGACACATGACAACACAAAGCCTTCCACCTCTTCATCCGGACTCTCTGCGTCATTTTGCCTTCTTGTGTTTCCTTTTCTCGCTGTTCTGTTTACCCAAGCATGCCGGCACGATAGCGTGTTGGTAGACTGTAGGTGTGAAGCAAAGCTTTGCCGAGACGCGTACTCGCCACCAGAGGGCAGTGTTATAAACACGTGAAACGACCAGAGATGTGGACTGCTCATTTCCGTTTAAGCAGTTTTGGATCGTTTAGTTTATTATTCTGCAGTCTCTGTAAACACTGCATGGTATTTGCATTTGCTTCTGTTTGTTTGAGACGCATTTGGCCCTCTTTTGCTCCTTTTATATCTCTTTACCTTCATTTTTCATCTTTTTGTGCCAATTTGTTTCTTATTGTAGTCAATTTGTCTATCTGTGGGATGGTTTTAATCTCTTTTTGGTCATTTTGTGTTTCTTTCTGACACTTTTGTGTCTCTTTGTAGTCATTTTTCATCTTTTGTGGTCATTTTGTGTTCTGCTGTGGTCATTTTTCATTTCTCTGCATTCAATTTGTTTCTCTTTGTGTTCATTTTTTGTCTTTTTGTGTTATTTTGTTTTTCATTGTGGTCATTTTTCATTTCTCTGTAGTCAGTTTGTATCGCTTTGTGTTCATTTTTGTCTCTTTGTGTCATTTAATATTTCTTTGTGGTCATTGTGTGTCTCTTTGTCATCATTTTGTTTTCATTTTGTGTGCTCAGGCATGTCCCTTTGGCTCGACCTCTGTGTGGATATTTCAGTAAAATGCCACAGATGAACCAGTCTTGTCTCCAGAATAGTTTGCACAATGGTGGACCCCTATCAGCCCTCTGCAGACCTGCCTACTCGGACCCTCACTCTTCCTGCCAGGCCCGGGCCCTGACATTTTGATTGAGCACACAAGGTCGATGGCGGTAACAAGCCACAGCTGAGATGTCGCTGCTGATTTGGGCTTCGTCTGGCACCCTGTGACTTTCAGCTGGGGCATTTTTATCCCCGTCATTATTCTGTCCGTTGGCTGGGACGCTTACCTTTCAGGCAATGCTGTGCTGGAAGTAAATGCCGATTAGCGCTGTTGTAACGAGCAAGAATGTGACAGCGATGTTCTGGCAGGTGTGAGCTGAGCCTGCAGGTTGCTAAGCACAATGAGAGCGTTTCGGGCAGGTGTAGCATTATGTAATAAAACCTAATGCTGGATTCTTGCTGACTGCAGTCTCTTAAAATAGTGACTCTGCACCAAATCTGATCAGTTCTTGTCAGAGACAAAGAAGGGAGGGAGCGAACTACACTTTACTGTGTGTTTGAACCACTGAACACACTAAACAGGAAACAATCTGCAATGGTGGGGGAGATGGTACTCAGTTTGTCATGTATACACATATTTGTGCAAATTTAGATGATTTTAAACATCAAGACAAACTCGGTCATACAGAAAATACGCCAGCATCATACCTCGACATGTGACACCGGAGCTGCCTGCTTTCAAGAGCTTTTTACAGTCCATTTTTATCTCAGTTTGGCCTTAAAACACATTTTTAATCTGTTCTAAATTGATGGTTTAGACCACCCACTGCTCTATAATCTAGATAAAAATCTGCAGATGTTTGTGATTGTGCAGATGTTGGCACTGGACAAGAGTTTTGGGTCAGGAAGCTCGCTGGGTTACATGTTTGAGCGGGCTTCGTTAGCTTATAGTTAGTGTGGAGAGCAAAAGAAATACACCCAACAAGCAACTGATAATATCTTAGTCCATTATTAGCTTGTTCTCAGTATTTGTAAACAGAGGAATAAGATAAGATACCTTAAACCAGACATCCATCATTCATTAACCAACAATCCTGGCTCCATCCATTCACTTCCGCTTATCCTTTTCAGGGTCGC